CATGCCAATATAGCAGCTTTAAAGAGAGAGAGAGAGAGAGAGAGAGAAAGAAAGAGCAACCTTTATCTGTCAGTGGGTGCACATGGCTCCAAAATAGCATAAAAGTAATAGAAGTAGTGGATTTCTTTTATTTATTTATTTATTTATTTATTTATTTATTAACAGCTTTTTAAAAATAACTTTAACCCACTGAAGAGAAAAGGTGTCTAACAGTGTCATAATGACTTAAAGTATAATTAACAATCACAATACTTTTTCGTTTGTCGCCGTAGTTTATTAATATATGTGCTGTGGCTAAAAGATGTGTTTAATTCGGCTACCACCGCAAGTATATTTCAAACCTGCGGGAAGCACTGTAAATAATGCATCGCAAGTGTTCCCAATAATACTACGGTATTTGTAAAAAGGTGTCACTGGAGGGCCTTCACCACTGGTGAGCGGCAGACTTTGAGCTTTATATCACTATCTGCACCACATGCTTCATAAATAGGACAGTGAGAGGAAACATGCGTCTCTAAGCTCTGCCTCTTAGACTTTCACTTCCTGCTGATGTTTTGTTCCTCCAGTGCTTCTTCAGAGTGCGCAGCGTCGTCATTTTCGGCTTCGGATCAGAGCTCCGGTTGGGACGTGTGGTCCGGCTGGTGGTCAGAAGAGGTCAGAGGTCAACAGGAGGAGTCCGGCAGGGGAAACGGTGCGTCGGTGGAGAAGGAGGAGGAGCAGAGCCGATGGAAGCAGGACGGTCTGAATGAAGACATGGAGAATGATGAAGATAAACCCAGTGTGGAGAACGATGAAGACCAGCAGGTGAGGGACGCCGCAGTGCATTTTAGGACATCACTACAGCATCAGAATGCAAGCTTTGTGTTGGTATTTTGGAGTTGAACTTTTAAATTTGGGCTTATGTACAGAGAGCTGGCAGTTTTTGCCTGATAAAATGGGTAAGAAAGTAATTAATAATTTTTTACTACTAATATTTTTGTGTAGTATTTTTACAATAACTCCATATCATAGCAAATCAAATCAAATCAGGCCTTTATTTGTCACATACTCTTTCGTATAGTGAAATTGACCCCCCCCCCCCCCCTCCCGACCGTACACAAACATCACAGTTTTCAGGGGAAGACAGGTCACAGGAGGTAGCATTTAAAAAAAGGAAGGAGAGGGAGGCAAAAAAACTCCCTCTTACCTTGCTCTTAATTTAGGGCAGGGTGAAAACGGAGAAAAACAAGCCCAGCAATCAGCACAGAAACCCAAAGACAAGACACAACGTTGCAACAGGGGATGGGAACAGGGGGTGTAGATATAGTCCGATGAGGGCGGGCGGCCGTCTGGTCCTCCAGCCATAGGGGCGCTGGTCGCTGACCCGCCTACCCCCTCCAGCAGGGAATTTCAGAGCGTCTCCTTATCTTGCTGTCCAGGAAAAGTTGTTTTTCTCCATCCCAGGCCGTCTGGCAGGTAAACACAGGAAAGCCGAAAGAGAAGAAAAGTTATTCAACTTTAGTCCAACATCTGTCGATTTCACAGATATTTAATGTCCGTCTCTCGTCTCCAGATCTGGCCAAATGTCCTTGCAGAGCCTCTGGTTTCACCCCGATGTTTTTTCAATTTGCGGTCTAGGACCATATATTAAATCCAATGAAAAATGTTATTATTATTACATAATTTATATATATTTTAATGATTAGATTACATAAATTAGCAATTAAAAATGATTGAATTCATTGAAATGCATGACTGACATAACGTATAGTACAAATATAATAAATATATATATATATATACACATATACATATATATTAGGGCTGCATTATACTAGGCCTGTCACAATAATCAATATATTGACTTATCGCACAGCACATGGACATGACCTCCATCATTTTTGGTGATGCAATACATATCGCCCATACAAAAAAAAACTATTCTAGCAACATTTTAGCTGTTTGCAACCTCTCTGTCTCAACTGGAGGTGTCATGGTCAGTATGGTTAAGAAGACACTCTAGTATTTACTGTAAATTACTATAGTGTATTCTCACGTGGGTGCCTGACGACCAAAAGCAGATCTGGCAGCAGAAATTGCACCCTCTGATACTTTTTAACCTTGCACCTTTTTTTCACGTTTATTATTATTTATTTGTTTTGGATCTACAGTTTCACATTCTGATTCCAATGCCTAAATGTTAAAATAACTATAATTAAATGA